TGGGTTTGTGTGAGACTTCAAAATCTGTGGAAAATCAGTGTATATGCATGCGATCTGATGCACTCCAGCAAGTGATGAACAGTCGGGTTCCTTGCAATTTGGTATCGGAGCTTGAACTCGTTACTCTCACTGGATGCGCTGGCATGATTAAGGCCGGCGAGGAGGATGAGCTGTCTTGAATACAGCTGGCGAGAGTTGAGGTGAAGAGGTGTTGGATTGGGATAGAGGGGGAAGTTGGCCGAAGAAGAAGGGGCCAAGGAGGAGAAGACTTACCTTCGGTTGGAGCGTTGGAGCGAACGTGGAGTCTTCATCAACGGCTACAAAGCAGAGAAGAACCTCCTGCCCCACTTACCTCGATTGATTGCAAATCTGTGGTGTGCATCTCTTCCCCCTCCATTCTGGTGGTCGCTGCTGCTGTCTGGACGAAACCTGTGGCCTGGCCTGAACTGACAGGTAGGATTAGGGAGTCAACCTATGGTCTTTGTCCATCTGGTCTGACGATAGGTAGGGAAGGAAGGTTGAGTCAGGGAATTGTGTACTGCCACGTCAGAGTGTAAGAAGCTGAGAGCTGAGATAATCGTGGTAAACTGAATTTGTTTCTGAAGTAAGTTAAGAGTATCACCTGGCTACCTTCTCTAACGAAAGTGACCAGACAAGACCATTGAAGGCATAGACCAGCTAATTAACTAAACAGACAGCAAATAAAGGAAGAAAAGAGTTCCTACTTTGCATATTGATTAGGAAAATAGTATATAACTTTTGCATGATCAAATTTCGTTATTCTGAAGCAGCGGCATCCAGATTAAAAAAAAAAAAAAAAGATTCACAGATCCCATCCACTCAAGTAGACTAGGATCTAGGGTAGCTACCTCGTGGTCCGGCGGAGGTCTTCCCTGTGCTGTTCGCCACCATGGATGACTACCCCATGTACGGGATGGTGGCTCTGTCTGTTCTCTTGGGGCCAATATTCCGTTTCTTTTTCCCTCTCGGCTTCGGGAGAGTGTGTTCTTCCCGCATGATGATGAGATCCGGGACAGCAAAGCCCGGACTCTCAGCGGCAGAGCAGGCAGAAGTAGACCGCCGCTTTGCCGAGAAGAAGAAAGAAAAAGAGCAGAAAAAGAAGCAGAAAGAAGAAGAGCTGAGAAAGAAAACTCAGCTAGAAGAAGAAATAATTAAAAAGGAGTTGAAAGAAAAGCTAGAAAAAGAATTGCCGGAGTAACTAAAAACTATAGAAGAAGAAGAGGAACCTGCGGATGATACAGACAGACTCGTCAGATGTCGGCCTGAAAGGGGCGAAGGCAGTCAGACTGGTGGGTTGAACATTTAGGTCAATCCCTTAAACTGGTATGACCAGTACAGTTATTCCAGTGATAGGATTGAAGAAACAGAGGAACAAAGGGACACATTTGTCGCAAAATTGGCATCCCTTCAAGATAAAAGGGAAAAGGAACTTTTGCTGGAAGAAAAACGAGCAGAACTGCACACTAAATGTTAGCAGCAAAACGACAAGAGCTCGAAGAGAGGAAAAAACTGCATGCAGAGGGTGAAAGGCTGCAAAAAGAATTACAGGCGCAGAAAGAAAAAACAAACAGCAATCGAAGAACAACTTGCCCTCTTAACAGCAACAGTTCTCCATACAAAACAAGAGTTGGCGGCAATGAACAGGACCTTACAGAAAGTTGAAGCTCACCAGTACGAGTTCGAGGGAGTCTGGAATACCTTCCTGCAAAGATCTTCTGCAGAAGTCGATCAACATGTACAAGCATATATTGTAAAATTAGATGAGCAGATCAGCAAAACTCTAACTCCCGCTGTGATTGAGAAATTGGTAAATAGCGGTGGAGGAGATGGAGGAGATGGAAAAGGGGATGGAGACGGAGATAGGAAGAAGAAGGGAGAGCTGCAAGAAGACACAGGGGAAGTTAGAAAAATAAAAGTAAAGGTGCCGTGGACATACACCGGCAAAACGGAAGAAAGTGTTCTACACTGGATTGCAACGGTTGAGTCCTATGTCTACGGACAGCGCATATCTTACTGGGACAGAGTTCTGATGGCCAGTTCATGCATGGCTGGAGATGCAATGAGCTTTGCAATCTCCCTGCAGAAGGAAGCTAATTGCCAGTCTATGGTAGAGTATTNCTGATGGCCAGTTCATGCATGGCTGGAGATGCAATGAGCTTTGCAATCTCCCTGCAGAAGGAAGCTAATTGCCAGTCTATGGTAGAGTATTCCCAACAGACTCGCATTGAAGATTTCTTTAAAGCAGTTCGGGAACGATTTGAAGATAAAAACTTAGCCCGAAGAACTGAAATGTTAATCCTAAATATTGCAGATAGGAAATGGAAACGTGTCTCTGCACTTAAAGCTACCATGGATGAACTTCTGCAACGTGCTGAACATGGACTCACACCGACGCAGATTCTTAATAACTTTGCAAGAGCATTACCCGATCCACTCCATACTCAACTATATCCCCGTACCAAAGAAGAGGGGATGACTTATGAGAAGTTCAGCAAGATCGCATTAGATCATGCTGGTTTCTTGGCCGAAGCCAATTACTGCCATTACTGGAAAGATCTACAAGCGGGAAAGAAGTGGCAGAACCGCACCATCTCAGGAAGTATTCCTGGGAAAGACAACATTCTTCTGACCTTTGAAGAAGGAGGTGTCGAAACTCTTTCCTACGACCAAATAGACTATGGTCTGGAAGGGGATGCACATAGCGGACCGGTAGTTCAGGAGGGGGACTACACGGCCGTTGTAGCCCGCAGGGGAGGGCGACAAGGAAGAGGTCGTACACGTGGAAGAGGAGGCCGCGGACGTGGAGGAAAAGGACCCGGAACTAGAGGGGTGGTGGCGAAGGTAGCTGCTATGTGGGAGGAAGGGGCAATGGTCCCTCGCAAGGTGGCCAAGGTTTCAACTCCACTTGGGGAAGAGGCACTTGGTATAATAACTGGGATAAGCCATAACCGCCCCATCCAGGTCATAAGTAGCAGTGGAGGAGATGGAGGAGATGGAAAAGGGGATGGTCCCTCGCTGTGATTGAGAAATTGGTAGGTAGCGGTGGAGGAGATGGAGGAGATGGAAAAGGGGATGGAGACGGAGATAGGAAGAAGAAGAGAGTGCTGCAAGAAGACACAGGGGAAGTCAGAAAAATAAAAGTAAAGGTGCCGTGGACATACATCGGCAAAAGGGAAGAAAGTGTTCTACACTGGATTGCAACGGTTGAGTCCTATGTCTACGGACAACGCATATCGTATTGGGACAAAGTTCTGATGGCCAGTTCATGCATGGCTGGAGATGCAATGAGCTTTGCAATCTCCCTGCAGAAGGAAGCTAATTGCCAGTCTATGGTAGAGTATTCCCAGCAGACTTGCATTAAAGATTTCTTTAAAGCAGTCCGGGAACGATTTGAAGATAAAAACTTAGCCCGGAGAACTGAAATGTTAATCCTAAATATTGCAGATAGGAAATGGAAAAGTGTCTCTGCGCTTAAAGCTACCATGGATGAACTTTCGCAATGCGTTGAACATGGATTCACACTGATGTAGATTCTTAATAACTTTGCAAGAACATTATCCGATCCACTCCATACTCAGCTATATCCCCGTACCAAAGAAGAGGGGATGACTTATGAGAAGTTCAGCAGGATCGCATTAGATCATGCTGGTTCTTGGCCGAAGCCAATTACTGCCATTACTGGAAAGATTTGCAAGCGAGAAAGAAGTGGCAGAACCACACCATCTCAGGAAGTGTTCTTGGGAAAGACAACATTCTTTTGACCTTTGAAGAAGGAGGTGTCGAAACTCTTTCCTACGACCAAATAGACTATGGTCTGGAAGGGGATGCACACAACGGACCGGTAGTTCAAGAGGGGGACTACGCGGCCGTTGTAGCCCGCAGGGGAGGGCGACAAGGAAAAGGTCGTAGACGTGGAAGAGGAGGCCGCGGACGTGGAGGAAAAAGACCCGGCACCCAGAGGGGTGGTGGCGAAGATAGCTACTTCGTGGGAGGAAGGAGCAACGGTCCCTCGCAAGATCCCTCGCAAGGTGGCCGAGGTTTCAACTCCACTTGGGGTAGAGGAAGAGGCACTTGGTATAATAACTGGGATAAGCCATATCCTGCGCAACTATATAAGTAAAAGGGTTTGCAAAAGCGGCGACTCGGGCTTAAGGTTAACAGTTAGATGAGCGCGTAGTGAGTGAACTAGCTAATAGAAGTGTAACTGTAATTGATAGATATGTTGAAGGGGTCCAGGTATACATCCGGCTCGAAGCAGAGGGGAAGGTGGAACGTGTTTTCCACTCTCTGACTCTCTTGGTGGAAGATAATCTTCCTTTTGGCATTCTTTTAGGCATGGATTGGGGGGAAGCTGCAGATGCGGATATAAAGTTGAGGGACCATGAGTGTTGGATCCGTAGTCCGCAGGGTGGAAAGAAGAGAATTCGTCTGTTCCATGAATCTGGTAAGGGAAGCAGCTTAGCTCATTGTTGTATGAGTGCCCCCGTGTTCGCCCGCTATGTGAAAAAATATGAGCCATTACCTAGAATCGATGATTTGTTGGATCGAGTTCAAGGTAGCAAGTACTTCACGGAAATTGATTTGAAGTTTGGCTACCACCAGATTGGGGTAGAGCCAGAAGACCAATATAAGACTGCCTTTCGTACAAGGTATGGGCATTATGAATTTATTGTGTTGCCCTTTGGTCTTACTAATGCACGTGCAACCTTCCAGCGAACGATGAATGAACTTTTTCGTGAATGGTTGGATAGATTCGTTGTTATATATTTAGATGATATTTTGATTTTTAATAAAAATCTGAATGAGCATTGTGAGCACCTTCGACTGGTGTTAAATAAGTTGCGTGAGGCAAAGTTGAAATTGAACCCGAAGAAGTGTGAGTGGGCAAAGCGTCAGGTATTATATTTGGGGCACGTTATAGACGGGTATGGAATCAAACTGGAAGATGCAAAGATTGCGGCCATTCGGGATTGGCCCAACCCTCGCACTTTGACAGAACTGTGGTCGTTCCTTGGGTTGGCTAATTACTACCGTAAATTCGTAAGACATTTTACGATAATTGTTGCTCCTCTTCGCAGACTGTTGAAGAGGGAAACCATTTGGAAGTGGGACCAAGACTGCACGTCCTCATTCAAGCGTCTTAAGAAATGTTTAATTAACTATCCAGTTTTGAAAGTTGTTGATCCATCCTTGCCCTTGGTTGTTACTAACGACGTCAGTCCGTACGGGATAGGCGTTGTACTCCAACAAGACGATGGAAATGGATACATGCCTATGGAGTTTATGTCCCGACGACTGCCTAATGAGAAGGTCGCCGCTTCCATGTATGAAAGAGCGTTATTCGCTCTCCGTGAAGCCCTTGATTATTGGCGACACTATCTCCTATGACGACATTTCAAAGTGTACTCAGATCATGAGACACTTCGCTGGCTTAAAACGCAGGCCCGAATGACACCTAAGCTGACAAGGTGGTATGCGGAAATTGATCAGTATGACTTTGAACTGAAGCCAGTAAAGGGGAAATATAACGATGTTGCTGATGGATTAAGTCGAAGATCTGATTTTTTCGGTGCTATTGTAACATATTTAGATATAGGCACCGAGTTGCAAGATAAGATTAGGATTGCATATTCCATTGATCCTGTATATAGCGGTATGATTAGGCATGTGCAAGAAACACCACAAGAGTTTCCTAACTATCGTGTGACACAAGGACTGTTGTTTGAAAGAACAGATGTGCATGATAGGTTTTGTATTCCAAATGTGGAAGAGATTCAAAGTTTGATCCGCGTGTGACTAACGAACTGTTTCCCAGTTGAAGGTCAACAATTCCTCCAAGCATGGATGGAAAGCTTGATGTTGATAAGATCGTTGCTGAAAGCACTATTCAGACTGGATGCAGAGGCAGACCACAGTGGCAATGTAAAGTTAGATTTGCCTATCAAGATCCAAGTGAAGACCTCTGGTTTAGTAGAGAAGAGCTAATTGACTCAGCCCCACACATTGTATCTGCTTACGAAAGAGCAAGAAGAGGAATTAATATTGTGGATAGGTAAGGACTTTTCTCAGAGGACTTTGAAATTAGGTCGGCGAGAGTGAAAGGGACTTTACGAATCAGACCCCGAATGGATACCCCAACAGCAAGGGTCCCTGTCGGCCAGAACTAAATTCACAAGCAGCAACTCAAAAGACAAAGTTCCTGAGGCATATGTCGCATCCATGATGAAATGAAAAGTCGTTTCGAACAGTCACAAACAGGTCCTGCACAAACAGGTATCGGACACAGTTTTCAAGACTGAGTTAAGGTCATGTCTCTTTGATGAACAGTCATACCTGTTCGGCAATGAGTCAAAGGTTACAGTCCCAGTCCAGTCATAATCCCACGAGTCAGCCTGATTCAGACCAGGAGTCCCACAGGCAGGCCCGATGGCCCAAAGCAGCAGCAAACCATGGGAAAGGATATTGGGACACACACTTCGCAACAATTGGTACTGGGCGGGAGTCCCAGGCACTTTTGAGGCTGAATGCAGGCCACGCCAGACCCGTCCAGCACTATAAAGGACTGGCCAGCCTCCCATTTGGACAGATGCTCACTT